GAACATTTAAGAACTTTATTATATGTGAGGTCTCCAAAAAGTTAGAGGATAAAGAAGAAAAATGTTCCTGAAACAAAATCTATTAAGAAAAAAATTCTTTGATTTTTAGCACTGACTCTGGCACAGACTTCATTCTCAAATTACTTAAAAGCTTTACCTAAGATGTCAAGTCTTAACTGCTGTTAACCAATCCTTTCACTGTCTTTCTACATATACTTTTATGAATAGAAAGCCTGTTTATAGTCTATTGCATATTGTCTAATGCAATTACTTTCAAGTAGCATGAAATTGTGTATTTTACCCCATTAAAAACATCTTGATTCTGATGGATAGAATCAAGGAGGACATGAAAAGGAGTGGATATGAATTTATTAATTTGGGAGTGAATGGGATATGATTTTTAAAAATGAGAGTTAAATGTTCTATTTTTGTTTATCTTGAATATTATATTCTAAGATAAAATGTGTTGTATGAGGTCCTGGAGAGTCTGTGCAAATTTGTCTGCCTTTATAAGCAAATAACAAGGAAGTTTTATTATTTCTGTAACTGTTAGAGAATATTAGGTTTGTCCCAAATTCTAAGATTTGTAAAAACAAAGTGAAAAGTCAAGGACATATGGGCCCCAGTGATCCCAACAGATGACAGCTAAGACTGCAGATTTTGAACTAGTTTTCTTGATAACTATTTAGTTGTTTTTTTATTAGTTTCATGACAAACCTGTGTTGGCTTCAATTTCCAAATCTATAAAATAAGTTTAGAGAGAGAGACAGATCTCAAGATTTTTATGATTTAAAGAATTTAAGTGTAGGGCAGGCATATTGCTACTATGGTTAACAGATACTACTAGTTTAATTATTTAATTATTTATTTAGTGTCATCCTTGTTCCAGAGAGGACATAGGGTGTCTTATTCAAGGTACACCCAATATATGGTCCTAAAGGTTCCCAGAGGTTTTGTCAGGCTACATGCAAACACACAAAATAGAACAAGCAGCCTATAAAACCTGCAAAAGAGAAAGTAAGATGTTAGGTCCATGTCATTCCAAGTAAGAAAGTTCTGGTTAATAATCTTAAAATGGTTTTAAAATGTTTACATCATAAAATTTGCAAGAACTGTCCTAGATTTATATTATCAGCCAACAGAGAGTTTCTCACAAAACTACAGCCTTCCTGAACTTCAAAATGAAGCATCAGCTTTGAATTGACTGAGAGGCAAAAATATGACTTCTAGATTGTCTTGTTTTCCTTGGATACTGCCCATTCTAGTATTTGGCAAGTCTTTGAGATTGGGAAGTCTAAAAGACTCAAGGAATGTAGAAACACAAAATTATTAGGCAAGTCAAAGCAAATTTCAACAGATTGTAATTCAATCAATCACACATTTCCTAAAAGTGGAAGTGGAGTTTTTAACTATTGGAAATAAAATTAGATTTGAGCCTAAGTTCCTAAATTAATGGTTTTGCCTTCATTTGGCACACTATAGTTTGCTATAGCTATGAGAGGACACTTGCAGTTCTATTGCTTAGGAGAGATTAACCTGATATTCAAAAAGTAGTAAATGAATATGAACATATAGCTTCTGACTCTATCATGAACAAGGACAATATGCATTATGGAAAAATGAAGTTGCTTAGTGCCTCTTGAACAAAATTACAATGCTATGTCCTTGAGTGCCATTGACTTTTAGAGCACCTTAGCCCTGAAAAGATTATGGTACCCATGACTGCCATGTAACAAAGAATAAAAACAAAAATATCAAGTCACAAATAGTTTAAGAAAATACCATAAATACTATGTAAATGCTTTCTAACATAACAAATACAAAAAAATACTTAAATGCTTTAAAAAAAATACCAAATATTCCTCCTCCCCAAAATGTGTTTTTCTTTGCTTGTGCTTAAATAGTAATTCCAGTGGAGAAGCAAACATTAAAAACTAAAGGCCTATCTGTAGATGTCCATACTACAGGTTGAAGAGCATTAGGGTCACCCTTCAGAAGTTCTTCTGAATCAGCAAGAAAGTAGTCTCCAAGTCAGACAGTCTCGTCTGATACTGGAGAAAAGCCAAGCCAGAGGGGGTGTTCATTCTGTGGGCAGACATATGCATCTGCACTTATAGGATGATTGGATGGGATTCCATCTTCATGTCAACTGTGGGGAACAGATTTCAAAGAGCCTATATCTCCCAAAGGGCTTGAATTCTTGCCATCTCTTCCCAAGCTGTTGGGAAATAAACACAGGAGTAGATGGTAGCAATTTCCATGGGTTGCACATCTCTTAGTGGAAAACTACCAGTGATGATAAAACGTTGGTAATCAAGGTGATCTTTTTCAAAAGTTTAGCTTCTCTTTGCTATAACAACATGAGCAGCAAAGTGATTTGATTGGTCTTTGTGGTAGTAGATGGAATTTTACCATAAATGGATTATGCCTTCTCGAGATATTGAATCTCAACTTTGGAGATTGCACCTTGCAGCCAACACCAGAATAAAGAGATGAAAGCTTCCTGAAGATAAATTATGCACCAAAATAGCAAAGATGTTCATACTTATGAAACAAGCTTTTAATAGCAAATATACCTTATCCCAATCAACTACAAAACAAAAAACTTAATCAAGTTCTGATTCTTCACATTTAAAATTAGAAAATATTCTATATCCCTAGTGGCTTAATTTATTAATATTTCACGGTATTATAGAACAAACTCTTACTTTCATCAAAAATTCCTTAATAATCTGTATGCAAAGTCCATAACAGAATTTCTTAATAAGCTCTATGGTTAAATTCATAATATAATGATACACAAAGAATGAAGCATGTTAAAATGATGTAATACTTCTGAATAATCAAAGGAAATCCTAATTACATTCCATTTAAGTTTGGTATTATGTGTATTTTAGTATATTCTAGCTCTGAAAACCAGAATCAATGTACAATTTACATATACATAATTATCGACTAATCATAAAATGTATTTATAACATCCCAGTTTCAGGACATAGTCTCAAAAAGGTTTGATTTCCAAGGAAAATTCAAAAGGGGAAAAAGTTGGAGGTATTACACCTTTATTGTTTCTGTTTGCCTATTACATGCAAACAGAAAAATTAAGAGATGACACATTGAATGCAGCAAAAGAAAAATTTAACCAACTTTCTTGACACATATTGAAAAATTGAATTCTAATGTTACATAGCTATTCAAAGATTATTTGTTCAGTCCAAGTAGAGAACAGTCTTAGGTGAGCATAACTCCTGTACATGTTCAGAAATGTGTTTCAAACAATAACTGCTTTATTAATTTCAAATCAAGTAGCCATTCAAAGAGCATATCCTTTGCTTTAGTCCAACATAATACCTATCAACTCTTTCTACAAAGGTCCCCCCAATTCTTTGTAAGATGAATGACGAGGCTTTTAAAAAACATTTGAATACATCTCACTTTTGGCTATCATGCTATCCAGAGAAAATATTAGTCAAATAAAAAGGAGAAATCTTTGTAAAGCTAAAATGTATTATAAATGAATGAAATTTTCTCAACTTCGGAAAATTTCTGACAAAATTTATTATGCTCTGAATAGTTTGTCTTTTTGGAAAGATAACTGAAAAAATTTTAATCTCTCGCCTACATGAAAAAAATAAATAAATATAACTGAGAATTATACTTCAAATTGTTCCTTTTTCATGGTTTGCTCTCAATTTGTAGTGATATAAAATGATTTATGAAGGAAATTTTTAAAAATCAACTTAGCATACATTTTGAAACCTGTCTTTAATTAGAACCTTTTATCTTTAAAGTATATACTACTTTTGTCAAACAACATGATTTTGTACACTACAGAATAAATCGATATATACTTGGAAAAAGATTAATATTCTAAGGTAAAAAAGAACAAAATACAGGCAAGACTTGGAAAGAAAAATATATTCTGTTTTGATTTCGCATTTTTACTTGTCTATCTACTGCTGTATCTTTCTAATATCATTTAAGACATAATTGGTCTGATATACTCTCTTGGAATTTAGGGGTTCGTCGAGTATTTCAACCTCACATTAGCTAAGCACTATGAAAAGGAAACTCAAACAATGGAGGACCTAAAACAAAATTTACCTGAAGTAATTTTTATTTTTTTTTAAAGAAACTTTTTGGTTTATTTTCAATGAAAAGACAGATGAGATTATTTGGTGCGGGGTGGAGGATGTATGTGGCTGGTTTGTTTTTTCGTCTGTTTTGTTTTGTTTTTGTTAGTTTATTCTTAGAGCACTCTTTTACCAAAGTCACAGATATAATTAACATTCTTATAATAATGAAAAACTCCCTGTGTTAGTTTTATCTCATGAGAAAAAAACAGTGCTCTTAAATCAAAAGCAAAATGTTATTTGTTCAGATTTTGGAGCAACGAAACTACGAAGACAGCCAAGTTATAAAAGCCTATTTTCAGATCTGGAACAACTTCTGAAAATAAAGAGGGTATTTGGCATACCTTGTACTATAGAAAAAGTCCTACTTTCATTATTTCCTGATTCTGGGGATCCAATAAAAACCTTATGGAATAAAAACTCTTGCACAAATCCTTCAGCGAAAACACAACCAACCACTACTACTACCCACCTTACAAAGGAATGAGAGTTGATAAACTATAACAACAGTATGGGAATTTTTACTTTTTCTTGTGTGTTTTCAAAGATTAAAAGATTTACTGGCTTTTCAAACATCAGTGGCTTTTAGCATCTAAAAGATACACTATATATATATATATATATATCTCCATTTTGAAAGAAACACTAACAAAAATTAAAACATTGATGATTAGGTAAATACTAATGACGCCAATATAGAAGTATTTGCCACTGTGAAGGGACTAAGCACAATCACATCTTGTCCCGATCATACCTGCCTGCCAGAACAAAATAGGCAGCTGACCAATTATGGGGTGTTTATCTATACAGTGGTACCTTTGTTCTCCAACAATGTCAGATTGCAAACGTCCTGGAACACATATTTACCTGGAGGATTCTTGGCAGGATCATTGTGGCTTGGACTTCCTGATTGTCCAGAATCTGTAAAGAAATCACAGAAAATGTTTTCTTTTTAATTTGTTTTGAAAGAATTTCACAATCCTCTGAAGGACTTCTAAAAAATTTTTTAAGGTACAACAATGAATTTGAGTGCTTAAACAAGTATACTTTCCCAAGCCTTTTGATAGCAACATTTTATTCATCAAACTAGATGAATGTCTATACATGTTTCTATGTCGAAAGAAAAAACAAGTATTGATCTATAATATTCTTGGGGTAGAGCAAGGCTTTTTTGAAACAAAAGACCAGACTACAAAGCCACTGTAAATGGTTTGAAGGTGAGGCAAATATCAAGGCTTGTCAGCAGCAATACGAAATAAAGCACATATATTCTCTTAAAAATGCAATCTGAATATAATTAACTATGCTTTTAAAAACCCCCAAATATGTTTTTATTCAATGAGTAAAATACACAGGAATGAGAGTCCGCTTTTCTAGGATTTCACACACAAGTACACATATCCACTCCAATAATCCCCCAACCTACTGGATCCAGGCCCAGATCTGTCTACATCCCATAATAGCAATCGATTTGCAAACACCCAGAAAAGCATAAATTACTAGGTAGAAACCAACATGTCTTTGTGGAGAGCAAATTGTTGGATCAATTTAATTTCCATCTGTGATAGATGTACAGACTTTTCAGATAAGGAAGAAGAGATCGATGTATTATCTCCGAATTTCCTATCCGGCATTATTCCTCACTGATACTACAGAAAGAAACATGGAGGACAGACAATTCGTTAGGCGATATGCCTTTCCTGACTAATCTAATGCTGTGTGTTTTGCTCATTCCTTCTTCCTCCATGTCCCCTCTGTATTTATCTGTGTCATTTGTGCCATATTATTACACACTTACTTGCAAGTTGCTTTGTAATCTTCTTTTATTGGTTCGAGCATTTAAGTTTTGTCTCCCCAACTAAATTGTATGCTCCTAGGCAGAGGCAGAGATTCTGTCTCCTCCTTTTGTGTCTTTCTCAGTGTGCTGTTCATGGCTGCGAATGCCCTGGGCTTGCAGTAAATGCCTGAGTAATGGATGGCTCAGATTCAGCAGCCTCTCTGCTTGCCTTGAAAAGGCAATTTTGAATTTGATAGTGAATTTCAACAAAATTTGATAGGTGGGGCACAGACGAAGGCTCTGTTATAGACTGCCTTATACTGATAAGTCTCTTCCCTGAAACTTTACCATTATACTTAAGCCAAGAAAAGGACTGAGTCTAGGCTAAGCAGAAAAACCATATGCCGGGTTTCTCATCAGAGTTATTCTGTTTCTTCCAGGTAAGTGACTAACATACTGAAATCGCTGTTTCTACTACTAAATGCAAGAACACCCTGCTGGTTTCTTCTTGTATAAAACTTGATCATGTATTTTCTGCCCTTTGCCGCATGCCTGCTAGTTAAGATTTAATGCTGAGATCAGAATTTTACCCCTTCATCCCATTTCCTTAATTGTCTTTTTGCTTTTGGTCTAGAATAGATTTCACAAAATCCTAGCAAACATATTCAGTGATTCCCACATTTTCCTCCAAGTTTTTCCCAGTTTCCCAAAGTGGGAGTAAAGAAACTGGAAAGGAACACTCTTGCCGTCTGGGCTCTGGCTAGGGTCTCCTGCAGATAGAGAGCTGAATACTCTCTAAAAATCTTATCTCTCATCTCCCATGAATTCTTCTATTACTTTTTCTGAAATTGAGGCAAAACTCAGTGATTTATAACTTACAAGATCAATCTTTCTTTTTATGCATTCTTATAAAAGATAATACAATATTGGCCATTTCCAATTACATAAAATATTACATAAAAAATGATAAATTATATTATTTTGGTACAGCCTCAGCTATTTCTGCCCTGAGTTCCCCTGACAAATGTCTCTCAGTATTGACACTACATTCCAGTTTAATTTATCAAGGGATTCTAACATTTTGAGGGGTTCTTATTTATGTATAACACACCCATTGGCCAGAGCCTCCCCGTATTTTATTTTCCCTCTAAAGCTAGCTCACATTTATGAAGGTCTAGACATACATCCCTCAAGGTTGCTAACTCCACCTTCAGGATGAAACAACAGGAGGTAAGTTAAACTTGTCATCGGTTGCAGCAGGGGCTTCCTTTCAGGAGTTGTAGACTCTACATGTGATCCTTAGCATGTTTAGTTATATCAACTTCAAAATGGCACCACAAAACTCTTTCCCACCATCTGCTGCTAAAATACGTGTCCAGTAGAGTCAAGAATGAAAGTCTCTTCCATTCCTCAGCAAATATTCAGTTAGCACAATGGCATCCCCTGTTACCACAACATCCCACTTGGGAAGCTCTATTCTTTTCTGCTGCAAATTACTTTTTCTTCCCATTGCAAACCAACTTCTTTAATTGAAAAAATACACTAACAAAAAAAAACAAAAAAAACAAAAAAAAACCCCACAAGCATTTGAGGGAAAGTTGCAATAGACCCTAAATTTGAGTCACACATTTGCTTTTTGTAACAATTCTACTTTCTAAAATGATCTGGTGTTCTGGCACACGACAAGTTTTCCTTTATACTCCAAAGCCTGTGCCCTCTCATGAAATAAAATAGCATATACTATATACCATGTCCCCAAAACATAGAAGATGGCCTTCTGGACAGGCAAGTAACAGAACATTTACTTTTCAGACTGAAAATTCTAACACTATAATCTACTCTTGCATATTATGTCACCTTATATCAGTCACTTAATTCCAACTGCTGGAAAAGGAAGTAACCAGGGAGTCACAGTTGGCAGAGAAACCAGAAATGAACTGTTATTGTGGTTAACTTCAGAGAAGGAATTATTTAGACCACATCTAAAACCCTTCCAATTCACCACCTAGGTCAAATTACTCTATACCCAAAGGTTTTATTTAACCACTTCCATCACTTTGCTCAAGTTCATTCTCTCTCTCTCTCTCTCTCCCACACCATCCTTTTTCTGTGTGTGTGTGTGTGTGTGTACTTGCTAATGGTGCAATCTTGTGCAAGATTACTTAACTCTTAGAGCTTTGATGTCTCGATCTTGAAAACTAAAAGAATACTACCCACCTTGCAGAATTGTTGCAAAGATTAACCATATTGAGCATCAAAAGCACTGAGTCAGACACATTCTCCACGATCAATAAATGAAAGATATTATTAAGCATAGAACCACATTCAAAAATGATTAATATTTTTAACAGACTCTTAGAAAGAAAGGGAGAAAAGGGGCATGACTAAATTCTGACCAACCCATTGCAAGTGTCTAAAAATGTCTTTGGTGGATCGATTGAACATGGAGGAGTGTGTGCCCACCTGAGAAATCCTATGTAAAGGCTTCAGTCCTGTGCTCCCCAGAAGGGAGAAGGGTACTGCTGCTTCAAGGCTCTAAGGGACTGTCATGCTCAAAAGGCAGCAAATACCAGCCAGCAGTGAAAATTACCTTCCAGAAGGCTGAAGTCTTTGAGGTACAAGGCTAGTCAGAACAAGGGATGTGAGCTGCCCCCGCCCCACCCACTGGGTCTTGAGTCTGGCAAGATTTTGATGTTGTGGAGAACAAGAGAGGGGAATGGGTGTTGAAGGCAGCCAACCCAAACCAGTCCTCCCTCATTCTCTCCACCTTTCATTTCCTCTCCCTTGGTCTCAATCAATACTTTCTACATTTCTGTGTTTGTCTCTTTCTGACTTGACTAGACATAGTGTTGAACTGAAATAGACTTTGTATTGCACATTTATGAAAATTTCATATTCCCCATTTTTAAGTGTGAATTAAATGTATACTTATTCTAAGAAAAATGATAAGGAAGTTATTTCTATTATGTAGATAAATTACTACTTTTTAAATTCCAGCAGTTCCTCCTCACCCAAGCTAAACATTCTCCAGAAATAAGAAAAGATTCACACCCCTGCATCACCCCTACTGACTTTTCTTCAATTCTTTCATCTACTTTTTTTTTTTTTTAAAGCAGTCAATCTTTTATGGCTTTCCTAATATCTGAAATTTACCTAAGGCATGACCAGGTTTCCCTAATGACCAAATTTTATGGAAGATCCTGGGATACTTAAGCGATCTAGATGGCTTATCCAAAGTCATGTGGCAACTATTAAAATGTATATTCTGTACATGGGCCACCTATTCAGACACACTGCTTCTTGAGTGATTATGATGCAACCCTAAAATCATGCGAAGTCCAGTGATTTTTCAGTAGATTATATGCTTCTGAGAACTTTACCTTCCCCTACCCTCTCTCCCCATTGCTACCATTTACCAACGTATTCAAAACTTTTTTCAGAATTTTAAAAAATCTTATCCATTCTCTGTACCTAAATTGGAAATAATTAGTATTATCATTGAACTCTATACACAAATGGATGCTGTAAAGAGAGGCTAATTTTAAATCAAATTTAGTTTGGATTCTCTCCACTAAATAAAGGCAATTCTGATGTTTTATGGATAATCTGGTAGGAAATCCTATAAAAATTTGTTAAATATATACGATGATAAATAAATAATGGCCTGTAAAATGTTTGTTACTGAGGACTAACCTTCTGGAGTGAATAAACTGCAACTATAAGAAGCGGATAGATCATCAAAACTGCAAAACACTTTTTAAGGTCAATAACGTAAGCACCAATTAAATGCAAATCAGTAAGATTTATGACTATCTTCTATATTCCAAATGCTTGGTAATATTGGGGACATAGTAGGAGCTCCATAATGCTTATTAAATTTCCACTTAATTTATTAGAATACTTGACCTTTAAAATAATGTTTAAAAAAAGAATATACATTCTATGCTGTCTAGAAGCTCAGAGGCTGCCCAAGGAGACAGAAATATACAAATAAAAAGACACACTGTGATAGGTGCTATAAATGAGAATATAGCAAGAAGGAACAACTGATTTTTCCTAGGAAGGGTAGGCAAGGCCATGTCATAAAAGATATATCAGAAGGAGATAAACTTAGGAACGAGGTCTTGAAAAATGACCTGATTTC